TGCAAAAATTCTCTGGCTTCATGACGGGCATGACAATGTCGAGTGGTTTCCAGGCTGTGCTAGAAGTTCTAGGTGAAGATATCCACAGCAGATTCTTTCTGAAATATAATTCCCGCAAACATTTCATATTCGCAGAAGCGTTGTTTTAAGTCAGCATTCTAACTCTCTTTCTGCAAGGCCGGTAGCAAACGTCTTAAGAACACGCATCTTATCCACGCAAAGCGTTTTCCTGTGCAGTAAGGCTTTCGTTTCCTATAAGATTGTAGTTCTGTTCACGAAAAGTTGCTTTAAATTGGTAGTAATGCTCACTTTCCCGAGTTTACTTACCTTGACAACGGTAGTCGGCAAACTGGCCAAGATTCCATCGTTACTTAAAAGCAACCAAATACTGAAAATAGGCATGATATCGTCCTCTTCGGCTCTTTTTGCTGAAGCGTTACCAGACTTAACGTTGGAAAATGCTTTGGCTGCAACAAGGGATGGAAGATTCGTCACTCAAGGGTATTGCGTGTACAATCTATTCGTAATCATGTTAGCTAAACTTCACCTATCACCACATCCGAACATTTTGGCCCCTGAGCAGTGGATACGGATGATTTGATAGACAAGATAAAGCAATTTGCTAACTTCTATGCTTCGGATTAGAAAAAGTGTTACTCTTCTGTGCAACAAGGCAGTTCTCCATTCATTGAAAGCACTTCTGAACTCACCAAACACGCCTGGCTATAATCTTTGTGTTTTGGAAAAAACCGATTTTATGTGCCTCTTCGACTTTAGACACTTTTCACGTCTCATCTACAAAACACCGTCATAATATACGAAAAATCGTGAAACAGGGATTAGAAGTACCAATTAGATCAAACAAAAGAAGTGTTTATTTAAGTTTTTCTATAATAGTAGACAAAAAAGCGTTGCCTTTAGCATACACACGGTGAAGTGCTGGCTTTTTTTTACCAATGATGATATGCCACTAGAAAAATAGCTAAATGCTTATACGTGTTTTAATTAATCGACAAATTTCCACTGGCATCGACTTAAACAGCCCATAGAAACTAGCATAACAGGCAGATCATGGCGAGCTCAGTTTACTTAAAAATCGTTACTTAAACACTCAGTAATTTGTTTTAAACATGCAGCCTTCTGAAGCCATAAAGATGGTCTTTCAAAACAAAATCAATATTACCTCGGAGTACTCAACTTAAATATTCGGCGAAGTTCGCTATTGCAGCCGCACCTAAGTGATGCCATATGGTTGGCTTTCTAAAAATGTAGAAGATGCGAATATGCTGAATTGACAAATATCACGTATTTGTATCTTCATTACCATTTTCATTCAGCGAGTGACTGTGCCACGAGGGGTGGAGTGCTTATACGCCAGCCTCAGTTAATTCAGGGATCAGTTCTGATGCGCTTCCCTGCGCGTGCTTCGAGCCCTGCTTGCGCCCTCTTTTTTATTTCAGTCCAGCGAGCAGCTAAGTAGGCTTGCTAATGGAATTCTTCGGACGACGTGGAACGCCGTCGGTTCCGCTATGGTAGCCATGCACTGCGAATTACCACGCGGTTCCTTCTGTGGCCTTCCACTTGTGATTGCGCCATCCTTATCTTCATAGTCTAGCAGTAGCTGTGTCGGGGAGAGTGTTCACAAGCCACCTTCACTCGCCTCCCTGCGTGTGCTTCGAGTTCTGCTTGCACTCTCTCCCTTCCTAATCCAGCGAGCGACTAAGTCAGACACGTGACCCAAAACTGTTTTAGTAAGCTAACCATTTGGGTATCCGTCAAGTGGCGCTGCAAAACCAAATCTGGCCAGTGAATGTTTAACTGATAATCGATAGCGTCATGCGGAAACCTGGTGAAGAAACTAGAAGCAGAACCGTAAAAACGGCGGCGGGGAGGAGGAGCAAGCAGCAAACAATGCCTAAAGGCCGGAACGAAGCACAAACAAAAACAGCAAATATTTATCGTCAGGTCTAGAAATTGTCCGCGATTCCTTGGTTGGAAGTTTCTACTTAAGTTTTGCTAAAGGAAAATTCTTTTTATTGTGCAATGGTTAGCTTTCGTGCATGTTTTCTTCATGCTAGCCTACGATAAGCAGCATACCTTGCAAAAGGTCATGAAATCCGTTTAGAAAATCTGTGTAACAACAACCCGCCGTCTGGAATACGCAGAAAGTCTGCTGCACTTAAGGAACGACCTTTCTCCATAAGAAGTCATAGTATAGTTCATTTATCATGATTTATCGGCTGAGGAATAATCCGATTTATTGGAAAACCCCCCAATTCCAAACAACGAATATATTATAGGCATACCAAAATAGAAAAAAGCAATGGAAGTCCAATAAAATGAGAAAACAACAAAAATGATAATAATAATGACTACATGTGTCAAGCAGCGGCATGCAATCGACGAAAACCTGTGTCTGAGCTTGTGGCTGGTACCTGCGCCGTCAGTACGGTAAACAACTCAAAAATTGGTAGGTTATTGGATTTTCCCTACCTGTAACACAATCTGGCGGATATGGAAACTGCGGACGTTTATATGATAGATGGGTCCGTGCAATTATTCAGCTCAACCTGCAGTTTATGCCCCAACTAAAGGCTTTTTGCTGCTTTTAACAATTTCTTTTAATCGCCTGGAAGGGATGTTTGAATAAATTGAAGTCTGCGCGGGTGGCAGACATAGAGGCCACTGTAGTTTAAAAAACTTACATTATCATACTAAGCCTTATCTGGATCATACCTCCCACTCAAGTGTTTTTCCTACATTTTTCTGGCGTCTTTTAGCGCCCGTTGATGGCCAAAATAGCTGAAGGTATCCCCCCCCCGATGCTGACGGAAACGTTGTTGTTGATGCTGCGCAATAGAGGCTGATCGTGCTCAGAATTTAATGGTCAACCAAACTATCAAAGGTCAGCAGTTCTTTAGAAGTTTCGGTGCGTTCTCGTGGGGAGTTCCTCCCATATTTCCTCACCTGGGTTGACTTCGTGGAAGGAAATTCTCGTTGAAAACAAAAGCGCGTAATTGGTATATCCTTTAACAAATAAGTAGCATCCATTTAGTAATTTCTCGCACGTTAATGATGTTGAAGCCCTGATTTCCTCATAAAGCTCATAAGAACCATGGTCAAACACTCACTGCAGATTATCCTAGTATGCATATAATGGCACTTTGTAGTACGCCACGAGTACTACGGCCGTCTTGTGTGCTTGCGGACAGTTGTGGTACATAGAAACCGACAACTGATTCACGCGGTAACCCTTGTACGTTCATAGTAGACCACACGATGTTACGGCGAAAAGTGACAGAATGATGCGGACACTCCTTAGATACTAGTTTACGTCCTTTTACTATTTATAGCGGTAAAACAAAGTACCTAAGGACACACTGTCACCCGCCGAAATCTCAGAACTTGTCTACAAAATATGCCGCAATGGGGGCGAATGCAATTTGTTGGGGAAACCGGGAGGAAATTGTAAACCCGCCTACAAGAACACAAATCGGCGACACGGGAGCTAGATCCAAACTCTCAACTAACAACGCACGTTGGAGAAAGTGGGCACGCTTTCGATCTCCAGAGAGCTACCATCTTAGGTGGAGGGCAACACAAAAGCAGAACGGCTGAAACTCGAGGTTTGGTACTCCGATGGCAACTCCATCAACAGGCGTCTGGACCTTCCTGCAGCCTACAAAGTCCTACGTCATCACGTTTGTAGAGCTCGGGACCAAGTAACCATAATGACAGGCCGATGGCGAGTCTACTCGGCGAGGAAGAAGAACCACCAGACTGACTACCCGACGAAGGTTCAGTCACCTTCACCCGATGAAGCGGTGACTCAGAAGGCGCACCGATAAAACGTCCGCCAACCAGCCCCTGAGAGGCTGAGACAGCGAGAAAAGAGGAAAATCGATGAGCATGAGGTCGACCAACGTGACATGCTACTTGAAACTTCTGGTCGCTCAAGTGCGTTTTACGCTTTGACAGTGGGGAGCCGACTAAGCTCTTCGAACCGTCAGCATCTAAATAAACCCATTCCGATGAGCCCATCTTTTCCTTCAAATCCTCAACCTGAATCTCTCGACTTTTCCAATGTGTACAACGTACTGTATTATTGCGTTGTGCAGACAAATATCATCAGTTGCAAATCAAAATTAAAGTTGCCTAATTCATCATCCATTTTTCAAAAACAGTAGAAATCTTCGTACTTGGTCGGGTCGGTTCTTACGAGCGTAAAACCCTGTTTTGCGACTTCAAACTGTAGTAAAATAAAATTTTCCTAATAATATTAATGCATAAAGCACACCGATAAGTGCTGTCAGCTTGTTGTACTCAATGGCACAAGCAATTATTTCGACATCAGCGAATATCGCCTCTACCCAAAAATGACCGATTTTCCCTTGTAAAACAGAATTTAAACAGGTCATTTACCCGAAAAGGACCGTCAGTAGCCCCAAATAAATCGAATAAACAAAAATGGTTTTTCACTATTCACGCCTTAGCACTCATTCATGTTTCCGCAGTAAAATTTTACAGGTTGCGTCACCGACCGCATGTTTTTCGAAATTTGTTATTCGAGAAATGTTTTACTACACGGACCGTCGGGGCTAGGTCTGACATTCGACTTCCAGCATTCAGTGGATAAAGCTTTCGCTGAAAAATTTGGAAGGATTGCTTCAAGTGGAGTTCGGTCTATTCCTCTCATTTTTAGACTTTAGAGAGCCTGTACACTATTGACACAGTTTATGCTGTTATGTATGCAAAACAGAAGGTTGGTTGTAAACAGGACGTGTACTGAGTCCGAGAGACAGCACAAGTGGGGTGGCTTGTAGAAACGGCTGGGTATATGGCAGGGGGGAATATCATAGGCTGAGGGATGGCCAATTAGCACAAAGAAGGTCTGAACAGGGGTACATGGCCTTGACCGTTTGCTTGTCACACGCATGTGGCATGATTTCCTGACAGCAGGGGCAGCATACACTGCATCCCTCCACCCTAAAGTGGACAACATGGGAAGGAGAGGTGAAACAGTGAAGGTAATAGTGGATAGATAAACAATGTTCTAATGGAATTTGTCCTGAATGCGTTGGGCAGGTTTGCGAATTCGTCTAGACCTTCTCAGGAAAGTGGCTTCGGCATCTGCACCGCCTTGTGGAGTCACTTGTTCCTCTGCCCCCAGGTTAACGCTGGCAGGGGTAGAAGGAGGAGGGGGAACATGCATCTCGGCTGGTGGCGTTGTGCTCTGTGCAGGCAGTAGATGTTCAGTCCTCGGGATGCCAGGATCCCTATCAAGGGTTGCTGGCAGTTCGAACCTCTCCAATTCTCCACCTACTGTGTCCGTTCGGCTGCGAACTTGAGTCAGATGTCGACGCGCAATTCTTCCATCTTCTAACTCCAATTCTCTTATTTGCCCCTCGCTTGTTCAAACTACCGCTGGAAACCAGTGCGTTTCGTGTTCTAGTCGCGTGTAGACACTTTCCTTTGGCGCGATGACTCGTGGGCGCGTGTTCACATCATATCGTGCTTTCAAATTCGTCTGTTTTTTGATGACTCTATCATGCGTTGGAGGATCGAGCAGGTCGAGTCCTGTGCACAATTGCGGCGAAACACCTGTTGAGTTGTTTGGTGTTATGCGATGGCTAAAAAAAGCGTGACAGCTTGGTCGCCAGGTCCGCTTCCGTCTGTTTGGCGAGTCCGTACTTTATTGTCTGAACTGCACGCTCGGCGAAGCCATTAAATTCAGCGTGGTACGTGGCAGTGGTTAAATGCCTAATTCAAATTTTCTCCATGAATTCTTTAAATTCTGCACTAGTTAATGCCGGACCATTGTTTGAAACGACAATTTCAGGTATCCCGAAAAACGAAAAAAACAGTTCGCAACTTGTTGATTGTAATCAGTGAAGAACAGGAATTTCCTGTCGTAATCGCATCAATCTATTTAGCGTGGTTTTCTGTGTTATTTGGCACACGTGACAAGCTTCCACCCCATTTTCGATATCTGCGTCAATTTTGGGCCACCAAACATGGCTGCGGACGAGACCTTTCATTCTAACTGTACCAGGATGAGCATTATGCAGGTCTCTGGGAATGGCCCGTGGGCCTTGTGGTGGAACATCTGCACGATTACCCCGTAGTATGCATCCGTCTTCTAGACTCAACTCGTTCTGACGACTGAAGAATGGTTGAAAATCAGGAGAGGAAGAAAACGGCCAGCCGGATACCAAGGCTCTTTTTATTCGACTTAAAAGAGCGTCTTTCGATGCCCAATATCTAATTTATTGACAGGTTACAGTTGCGCTGACTAGGTTCTACAAAAAATTCACGGTTTCAAAAACAAGTGCATCGTTAACGTCATCGTCTACAATGGGAAGCCTACTCAAGGCGTCACCACATGAACCGACAAGTAATGGAGTTTCACCACATGCTCAACTTCTGCTGTAAAGACCCTTCGGAAATCTACGTTCTGTCCAGTGTAACTACGCAACCTTAGGCTAGTCGGAAGGAGGGAGGGTAATTTCTGAAGAGAGGCTTCATTGATGAGAGTAACAGCGTCGATTCCAAACTTCAGGGGATGGCAATCAACCGGAAGCGCGATGGTGTAGGGCGATTGGAGCGGTGCTTTTCCGAAGACATTCAGAGTATCGCCTCGCCATCCCCGGCTGGATTAGGGTAGGTCGCACGCGTGTTAGTGTTCGCTCGTCTTTTGGAGAAACGCACTCATTCCCTGTGGCCGATTTTCTCGCAAAAACGACAAACCGTCTTCTAGTGTTTACAGTCTGGCCGACCGATATGATGCTGACCACAAAGGTGGCAGGATGGTAGTTGTTTTGAGGGAGCTGATGGTTGCTGTTTAGGTGAAGACGCAGCAGTGTGGACCAGACAGACAGTCAATTCAGGTTCCAAGGATGATATCACTCCACCGTTTGACTGATTCAGCTGCAGAAGGTTATGTCGTACGCGCTCCTGGTGACTGGCGATATCACAGGCTTTCTTCCATGAAAAATCCCTCTTCTCCGATAAGAGCTTTCCTGAGCTTTTTCATCGTACAAGCCAACGATCAACTGCTGAACCAGCATTGCATGCTCGAAGTTGTCTGTCTTTTTCTCTTTTTACCCACAGTCCTAGATTTACAGAGAGAAATTCGTGCTAAAATCACCGACACATTGATTGAATTCCTGACGCATTTGACAAAACCGACAGAGACTGAGGAAAACGTTGTCTTTTCCTTCTCACGTTGACTCGAATTTTGTGAAGGCTGTTTGGAGATCTGTAGCACCTTGTAAATCGAGGGCATCGCAATATCGTTGTCCCAACTCTCCGAGATTCGTCCGGAGGCGTTCCAACTTAGATGGGACGTCTAGTACAATTGTGGGTGATAAAATCGGAAGTAGTTCGATGTAATCCTCAAGTGTCTTTCTCCATTGCAACCACGACACATTTGGGGGTTTCTGAGTGTTCTTTGGCCAGAAAGGTAACGATGTAGGCAGCAATAAAGACATTTTCGTTAGGCTGCGTAGCCAGAAGGTTAGTTGTAACCAGGACGTGTACTGAGAACGAGAGACAGCATAAGTGAGAAGACTTGTGGAAACGGACGGTTGGAGGGCAGGGGGGAATGTCAGAGGCTGAAGAGTGGCTAATTAGTACAAAGAAGGTCTGAACAGACGTACTTGACCTTGACCGTTCGCTTGTCACCCGCATGTGGCATGATGTACTGACCATCCGGGCAGCATACGCTGTACAGTGCGTGACCTATCCCATGAAATGTTCGCTGCAGTTCTGAAATGCGTTTTCGATTAGGAAGGATTACTTGGTCGCGGTTGTGATACTGATTACCTTAAGGCATACTCTTATAACATTTTGGACTCGGTAGGATGTCGGCTTTTAAATGCACTTCTTTTCAATATCCTGTAGAAAGCGTGCTCGGTAAAAAATGACTACTTAAGTAGCATGCATTTTCCCATTGATTTTCGATGGTCTTTGAAATTCAAATATATTTTATAGAAACCATAAATAAAAATATGCTTTCTTTTAGTCAATCAATAAAAAATTACGTCTTCTTCATATTTCATACTTAAGAAAGGAGTATAAATAGGTTTTAAAAAAGTTTCTTATTATGAGACTTTTTAAGACTGCGATATGTCCATTCACATAGCATCGTACCTGGCCGTTTACCACTGCTCCTCATGAAGCGTACAACATGGTCCGCATCCATTGCAAAATTTTATGGACCCTGTATGATATCTATTTAATGACATAGAAAAATATGGGATTTTCTTTACACGGAACGCATGCACCTTGTAGAGTGTAATCACTAAGCGCTAATGCAACGAATGATCAGGTTCCAAATTGTTCGGCGATTAGAAAACTTTTTTCAAACCTAATTTTGCTCCTTCCTTAAGTATTAAATATAAAGAAGAGGTGATTCTATATGGATTGACTAAAAGAAAGCATATTTTTGTTTGTTTATATTTGAATTTCAAAGACCATCGAAAATCAATGGGAAAATGCATGCTACTTAAGTAGTCATTTTTTACCGAGCACGCTTTCTACAGGAGATTAAAAAGAAGTGCATTTAAAAGCCGACATCCTACCGAGTCCAAAATGTTATAAGAATATGCCTTAAGGTAATAATTATCACAACCGCGACCAAGTAATCCTTCCTAATCGAAAACGCATTTCAGAATTTCAGCCAACATTTCATGAGATAGGTCGCGCACTGTACATGCCTGTTAAGACCACTGACCACTGAAACGGACACTAATAAAAGGCCATTTATGGGAAAATAGCAGAAAATGGCCACAAATTCACTACAAGTCACGAAGTATCTACTGACGCGCTGACGATGTCTGTTGCATTTTCAGATATATTTGCCCGTTTGAAATGCCACTTTTAGGTTGATGGACGGATTTTCACATGTGCAGGAGCAGTCAGCAGAGGAGGTCTTTTTTCAAAAGGTCCTCTCATTCAATCGGACTACGCCTTCAAGAATAGAATTGTGCGCATATTTCTATACTACGGACTGTACTACCCTAAATTAGGTAAGCAACTTAGGCCTAAACGGCCCTATATTCCATTAGACAGGCCGCTTAATATATCAAAGTTCATCGGGTCGACACTGGACCAACATCTGCGGAACAAACAGAGGATTGCATATGGTACCCATGAACCGGTCAACTACCTACTTTGGCGAAAATTTACGGCGACTAAGGCTCTTTCCATAGAATAGGTCACAACATTCCTTATCGCAAAAATCTTTGTTTCTTAGAAAAATTGCTACGACCAAAGTCTAAACATAAAATTTCCCCCAAATGGACATGCCGGTGGCCAACGTGGTCGAAAAGGAAATTAATTTTGAAACAGGCAACTAATTCTGGCTCTATCCCCATGCTTGGTTATCTTGCGGTCGCTTATATTCCGCAAACATCTTGTTCTTGACGTTATTCAAATGAATCCAACCTCTGCAAACAAATGAACATAAGAGGATGCGGAGTAATTTATTGTTCTGCTAGTTAACAATGCACTCTGCTGAATGTCATGCTAGCGTCAATTCGGCATTAGACTATTTTCGGAGTAAGTGTTTCTCAACCTCTCCATTCAGATACAGTTGGAGTTTACACAGCCGTCCGAACGCACCTCAGAATATTTGTTCCTAGTTGATTGCTAATTAAATCCTTTGTAGCCCATTTGGGAGCATTGCAACACTTGATATTTTCTTAAAATTTAATTGGCAGTTAGTAGCAATGATAGTCAGTCCAGTATAATTTTAAAGGTGAACTGAGGGAATCGTCGTTGCAGAGCCAGCCGAACGTGATCTATAAACTGACTTGAGGTCAACTTTTCTGATAGAAGCAATCAGATGTTTCCCGATGATGATGTAGTGTGAGAGTTTCCGCGACGTGTTCTCAGTTTTTTTTGTCAAGTGTGTAAATCTATCGTTCTATACAAAGTGTAAAATAACACGCTTTGATATAAGAGTCCTTTTTTAAAACTGAAAAATCGTTATCTTTGAATCAGGCTTTTCCACTAGAAAGGGTATCACGGGACACTCAAGGCCCAATTTCAGAAGTAAGTCAAATCCACTTCGTAGGCGACTCTTATTCGAAAATATATCTGCCACAAGGGATTCCTTTCGCTTTTTGCGCATGGGATACTCTGTAAACTTTACGTTGGCAGTCTTTTGGTTATCCTTACTTACTTTAAAGTCTCGTTTTAAAATCATACATGTCCCACAGGGCGGGAATGTGAACGCCAACTTGTTGCTAACAGTTCGTATTACCAAAAACTAGAACACACAAATGTGCTGGACGCTGCTCTGACTGCGTTTTTAAATTATGCATTAGCAGGAACCAGACATCAGAAAAAAAGCATCCTATCATGTTTATAAAGAGGTTGAAATTGGTAGCTTGAAGGAGGACTTTTTACGTTTTTTAGGGAGCATTTGCATTAGTTGAGAAATTATTGGTACGTCAAAACGACAGATTGCCTGTAGGCGTCTTTACGGCTATTTAACACAAAACACTGCACAGATTTACAAATCTTAATTTTCAGAATCAAAAGGCGCCTACTTTTTCAAGAACAACATTCTTGTTCATATTCTACTTCTCCTAAATTACGCCGGCGATAAAATCGATTTCCATGTGGGTGGCATTTGGTTCGGCAAACGTTTACCCTTCAGATTAATGCCTTCACAGAGGCAAACACATACTGATGAACAGATTTAACCTAGGACAGTTGTCTTTGTATAAAGTAATTTTGATGTAAACTCAGATTTGTAAACACTTAATCTAATAAATTTGTTTAGAGGCATATTACGAACAAAAGGAGGAAACTTTCTTGAACGGACTAGGCGGATAAGTAAAATGTATGACCCCCGATCTGGCCGTAAATAAATGCCTAAATAGCCAAAATTACGTTCCCTGAGGTACGCTGTCTTCTGAAGGACTGATTAAATTGCGGCTAAGCAACATTTCTAGGCCGAATTAAATATGCTAAACTCTAGTTTAAAAAATTGCTGTAATTGTGTGTAATGCGGGTTCGCGATAATCGCCCACTTCGTCTGCAAGACAAGTTGAGACCTGCTTGAAGCCTGTGCCTAGGATGGGAACTTAGTCAATTGGTGCGTCGACCTGGCGTCGGCATACAGAGCCTTGCCCAGTCACCTTCAGACTTGCAGTAGGTGGGCTAACTGCTGAAATGTCAACCGAATCTCCGAAATGCGTTTTCGTTCCAAAAAGATTAATTAAATAGGGTTGTTAAACTAAACAGCCTGCAGTATAATTCTGTAGTAATTCAGTTGCCTCAGACTGCCAGCGTTCAAACGAACTGCTTTTCGGCTGTGTGCAAAATATATACTCTGTAAAAAATGACTAGTTATGTAGTATGCATCTTTTCAATTGATTTCCGAAGCTTTTAAAAATTTGATTACATTTTATAAAAAACATGCATAAAAGTATTTATTCTTTTGCTCTTGCGGTAGAAAATTATGTCTTCCTACAATTGTATACTTGAAGAAAGGGTATGATTCGGTTTTCAAAAATTTTCTAATTGTGAGTTTTTTAATACTGTGAAATGGCCATTCATAAAACGTCCTTTCTCTGCATTTACCAATGTGGCTTGTAATGCTAACAATATGGCTCAAATCCACTGCTAAATTTTATGAACTCCATATGGTCTCCTCCTAATACCGTAGAAAAATGTATGGTTTTCCTTAAGCGGAAAATATACGACTTGTAGTTCGGAAACCCTGAGTGAATGTGTAACGGCAGGTCGGGTTCAAAATTACTCGGGAATTAGAAATGTTTTTGAAAAACAAATTATGCCCTTTTTCGAGTAAAAAATTAAAACAAAACGTAATATTTTACCTAATGATAAAAAGAATAAATATTTTTCGCACGTTATCCATGAAAAATGTTTAACTTTTTTAAGGGCATCGAAAATCAAGGAGAAAAATTCATGATACGTAAGTAGTCATTTGTTAGAGAGTATAGTTTCTGAATGCAGCTAAAAAGAAATCCGCTCAGAAGTCGGCATCCTGAGGTAACTGAAATATTATAGACTTATGTTGCAGGCTGATCAGTTTTACAATCCTACTAAATAAATCTTCACGAAACGAAAACTCATTTCAGAATTTCGGTTGACATTTCTTGAGTTAGCCCACCTAATGTGTGTCATTGACCGTTCATTGGCTAATGCCTCCTGTAACTGCTGCTGGGACTGTTGCCTTAGTCATATCTGGCGATGGACTCCTGCAAGAGTTCAAGGTCTCAGTGCAGAAGACAAACTGCCTCTTTGCTATACCAGAATTTTCCTTCTTTACTTAAACAAACACCTGGAAGTTGAACATTCGCGTACATTTGTGTGCACGGTATGATTTACTGCATGATATTCTGGAAATCAGGAACCGTCAGCATTGTGCCAACCAGGGATGTGCACCGTTTAAATCAAAGATAGCCAAAAAGAATGCTTAGATATTTGTGAAAATAAGTACTTGGAAATTATTTGTCAAAGGACCAGTTATGCAAGAGATTGACGCGAATAGCGATCAGTATAGGGCAAATCACTGTCGAAAACAAGGAAAGCCATTGCATGCAAATCAGATTACACTAACGAATGGCAAAGAATATAGAGGTTGAGTAGTTTTTTGAAACTTGCGTTTACTTATGCTTCACGCACAGACCTGACAGGTATTGTAGTGTCCAGACCGTTTAGAGTACTCTGTTTACTGCACCTATTAACAACAAAGGCAATTTTTCATGAATCGCGCGATTCGGTCTCGTCTAGCGTCAGTTCATCTGGTAGTCGCGAGGACATTCTAATAGTCCTTAAGTATAAACTACCCTCCGGACTGAAAATGGTCTCTTGGCCACCGATGGAGAGCTCTGTCGTTGTCTGTTAGATCAGTTTTTTTGCACTACGTGTCGCTATGCCTTCTAAAAGATGAAACTGAGCGGTATTTTGCAACGGCTATGCTGTCCTCTTGAGGCAGGTAAGTACTGTTTTAGTCAAGAATGTCGTTCACTGCGTAAGCAGATTATGTGGTGTTAGTCCTATCATTTGTTCATCTATAGGCTGATGGCTCACAGAACTTGATTGTCATCTGAAAATTTAGGCGCAGATAGATCGTGAGGGCATTATTTCCCTAGTGACGTATCAGGGAAGTTTTACCAGCAATTTCTCCTCCTGGCTGCCTTCAAAGACCTTTCTTAACATACCACCATGCGGCGTAAATAAATACTCTTTGAGAAGTACGGTCAACAATCAACAAGAGAAGGACATGCTCTGGTTGTTTTCGTACTTTAAAACAAAGTCCTCATGATATTTGTACAAACAGAGGTCAGATTCCTTCACTAGCTCCACAATAATGCACAGAGTACGTTTGAAAATCCCCCTAATTAGTAGTTATGTGGCATACAATCGCGTGTTCAGGGTGTTCAACGGGAAAACTCCTCATCCCGCTTGTTTCTACAACGGTTTTGTCCAGTCTGTTCCTCAAAACGACTGCATCATCAAGAGTCAAGTACAGAATGACGATGCTCGTGTTTATAATTCCCGTGCTATGGGCCATGCGGCGACCCTCAAGTTGCTAATTTCAGTTTTTTTCCAAAATCTTCAGTAGCCGGAATTTTCTTTACGACACAGGCGAAGACGCAAGTTCCAGGATCTAGTTGGTAAGAAGAAGAAGAAGCCATCGCCGGAACAAAAACTTTATTCGCCTGACGTTTCGGATTCTCACTTGAACCCATCATCAGAGACAGTGGCAGAAATGTGTGATTCGTAGCCTAAAGGCCAAAGTGTTCAGGAAAGCGACGAACACGATACAAATACTGAACTTTAACAGCAACGATCCAATCAGCCACAAGCGCAGTTGCGTAGGAACGCTATATCGGCATGTTGAGACGTACTGCAGTGAAGCGGAGGGCAAGGTTGCCGAATCCCAATATCTTCGACGGGCTTTCAGAGAAAATTGTCACCCGCGCAACTTCGTCAACCGGTGCATGCGCAAACGAGAGGAGCAAAAAAAATCGTACCAACCCTAAATGCTGGCGAGCGATCCCGTAAAGCAATAACGTCCCCGAGGCCGTTAGTCGTCTTCTCGCGCCGCTTGAGGTTGGAGATGCACACAGACCGGAGGCCACCATGAGGCGTCAGGTGATGACGCCAAAAGACCTAAGGCCATGGAAAAAACATCTGACGTCGTTTACCGGATCTGGTGCAGTTGCGGGCAAAACACCTAAGTCGGAGAAACTGGAAGACTGCTCCGGACGCGAGTTGCCGAACACGCGCCAGCGGTGCGGAGAAATGGCGCGAACTCTCAGGTCGCGGCCCATTTGACGAGACCCGGCCACACATTCAAATTCAATGAGACAGGGGATAATCGCGTGAGCCGCGAGCTGCTTGAGTCATGGTTAACGGGACCTCAGTCAATCAACAAGTGCAACGACATCCCCACTCCATATTCCGTGTGAAGCAAAGGCTGGACAAAGTAACTGACCACTCGGAGAGTGCGTAAGCCAGTGAGCCAGATGGCTGTGCAATCACCACGCCAGCATCCAACACAGGTGATGAGATTTCGGCAATTAACAACTTGCTTGCCGGACATCAAGCAATTAGCTCTCTAGCGGGCGAAAAATCTTGATGAAGCGGAATGCGGTTAATGACTAGAGGTATGCGGTAGCATAGCGACTGCATCCTATAAATACTGCAACTTACTGTGCACGAGTCACCCTTTTCTGCCGCTGTGTCTGAGGATGGGTTTAAGTGAGAATCAGAAACGTTAGGCGAATCAAGCCCTTGTTCCAGCGGTCGGTTCTTCTTCTTATCAGAATCTTTCTTCTCATCCTTATTGAATGGAACTACGGATTAGCATCGTGTCAAAACCCGTGACTAATGTCGTCCCCAGAAGTAGCGGCCTAACACAGTCAAATAGAAGTGTGGTATGCAGGCATCAGTGTTAGTCACTTCTGTACTGAATAGAAAAATATGCATGCACTTAATAGTGTTGCCCTAGTTTCCGCTACATGTGTCGTGGTGGCATTTAGGAGTTTGCGGCGGCGCACGACTCCCCAACATTCCACGGCGACATTTTTGTCAGATAAATAACGACTTTCAAAAGATGGTAAATAAATATTTCAAAGTGAGCTGGAGCAAGAAGTCGAGAATCGCGTGAGTGCATACTAAACAGGTTAGTAGTTGAGTAATGCCAACCGCCACTCTCATTAAAGAGAATAAATTGTAAAGATTTTCAGGCGTCTAAAGAGTCAGTAGATGCTGTATACACATTGAGATGATGTCTGCGGCTGCTTATTTAGAAAAAAATGTTTAAAGTTCGTTAGAGTATTTGGTCAAAAATATTCATTTTCAAATGCACTTGCCGGCAGTGAAACCTTTCAGCTTAGGATGTTGCTTTCAGCCCGCCCATTTCCCCATGGGCAATCTTTTGTTTTTAAGCAGAAAAGCATTAATGTTTCCTTCTGTTATCATTCGGATTATTAGGTTATTTATTTCAACTTGTCGCACTGTAAGAATGACAGTGCGTCACTTTTACTTAACATGCATATTCACGTTCAATAATAAGTAAACATATATATGCACGTCTATGAAACACTGTATTTAGGAATATTGAGGGGATGTTAATCAATTGAAATTGTCGATTCTTCCCGTCAGTCAGATTATAATTTCCTATTTCTAAAATGCTGCAACACTTGGTTGATTTGTAATCATTTTTTGAAGGATGTTTGGTAACTGACACTGGTACACGATATTTGAGTGCGTCTCAGGAATTCAGGGAAAGCAAAATGGAAATGTGTAAGTACTGAGCTCAGCAGCGAAGAGCAATATAGTCTAACAGGTTTCTAACCATTGTGGTCGCAGATTTTGTGGTTGATAGGCTTATTATTTAAATACGACTGTATACTATTTCCCATCACTAGCAAAGCATTATGTAAACAAGGATTTACTAAAGTATTAGTTAGGTGTCTCTTCCCGGCCTTGCTAAGGCACCTGTCGCTCACAATCTGTCATAGGCGCCCTTTCTGTGGACTCCAAAAGTGCAACTAGATTTGACCTAGTACCTATTTTCTTGCTGTCAGGAATCCCAAAAATCCCCTTTCCTTGGATGAATTAACTGACCTGCTTTGCTGCATAGGCAAAAAGGGAAGGTATTGGCCACGCCTTGTAGGGAACAACTCCGCTGTCAGAAACGTCACCGCTTGCCATCTGCGATTGGTCGACCGTTTCAGCCTACATATCTGCCGCTCCCTTTGCACAGAAGCTGAAAATGCCGATTAACATACAGGACTTTGGGGCGTCGTTTCTAGTGAAAAATCATCGCTCCATTAGCCTTCAGCACAACTGGAAACAGCGCATTCCGCGAGTAGCCAAAAACGCACAGGCAGTGATAAATCAAAAAGCCTCCGATTCACAAAATGGAACTTTAACACCGACTCTCCACAGTCCAACAGGGGAAAACCCCCTCAGAGCGCTGAAAAGCCTTCGGAAGTGGACCAGAGCCCCGCGAGTACTCAAGAAGATCGTAAGCTGCCTGCTCTTTCGACTACTGCCATTTGCGCTCCTAGTTCTTGGTCTCGGGCTCTGTGTCGCAGGCTGGATTCTGGACGTGAAACTGTGGTTTTCTGTGGGATGTGTCCTTTCAATCGCCGCACTGGGCGCAGGTATTCAGTGCTGTGCCTCCCACCGCTCAACTCCCAGCTCCTTCTCACGCGCAACGGTAGTAAATAACGATACTCTGCAGGCCATAGAGCAGATGAAAACGAGCAGGGAGAACGGTCCTACTGCCGCAAATGGAGGGACAGAGACAACACTTGAGGGAACCGAGAGAGCTGTTAACAAGCCGTCCCAATTGCCGGAACATCAGGAGGAGGCGGCTCTGGTGCAGGGCCAACGACGGCACACTGTAGCTTTTGATAGTCTGCTGGAGGTGCGACGTCTGAGTTTGGCCGTGAATAGGGCCGTTTCAGAGCTCTCCCAGACAAGTACTAACGCAGGGTTCGGAAGCAGACGGCTTGCTAGCTACGCAGGCACTATTATGCTAACTGGGATGCCTGTCTTGCCTCAAGCGCACCTGGATGGTGCTTTTAATTGGCAAAATGATCTTGGTTACTATGGTTACCCAACAAGCAGGGCGTCAAGGTTGCGCCGGTTTTCCCAATGGCAAATGCCGATATGCTGATATTCAATGTTCTGGACAATTTCGTCCGACGATTTCGTGCTTTATGTTTTTGTAATCCTACATTACTACTTAATTTATTTAGAAAATCTACGTCTGTAAATGTTTTTTTTAAATAAGTCTATGCCTTTTAATGTCGAGATAAATACTTGAATGACAATAAACGTGACTAGAATGGCCAGTATTCCGTTGCATAGTCGCATATCAATACAAAACTCATTTAGGGAATTTTCCCAACCAGCCGCCCGTTAGATGACACGAAATATTCTTAATAACGAAATGGAAATTGCTGATGGAAGCTAACAGGAGAGTTCCAGGAAGCAGTTTAGGAGACGAAGATGCGATCATTGGAACAAGTGATAGCATCTTTTCACTGTGTCAGTTGATTTTCCAATTCGGGTCAACCTTGGATACTTCCGCACTGATTGCGGGAAGACATGTGAATGTATGGCCGATGGTGAGATGCAGGCATTCACGCCAGCACTTGCAAAACAGAAAAGACTCCAATAAGCTGATTATTTTAAGTAGGCTAGGACATACCGATAAGATAAACACAATGTTACAGTGACATACTTGCTTCCTGTTGTACTCTGAGTGCCAAAGTTTCTCCAAGCTTGGGTCAGCGATCGGTTATTCTGGTGCAAAATGGCGTCAGACGGACTAAAGCCTGCCAGAAAAAAATTAACTCCATTGGCTTTTGCTTCCACCAAGATCGGCCCATAGATGTAGCTCGACAACTTGGAATACTAGCAGTCATGCCGCTTTGAAGAAATTTGTGAACCGTTGTGAAGGAAGTCCATCTGAACCTGTTACGTCTATGATGGGAACATATGACCAACAGGCTAACGATGCGATAAACATGTCGGAAGGGACTATGCCAGTCATCACTGTCATTGTCGAGAACAGTTCTAAAATACAAATGACTACTTGGCAAGCTGATATAGGCTTCCGAAAAAGTCTCGCCAGGCCAGTAGATTTACATGGTGTCGAGGTTAATTCAAGTAGGTAGATTCTTCTAGAAGCCGACGAACTTCGTTTCAGTCCGAACTGTGATTTAGGAATTGAATGCTTCGGTCGCATTAGGACAAAAATGTATCATTGCAAGACAAGGAGTAAACGAAAAAAGCCTCCTCGACAACAATACACACTGTATGTGATTTTTTTCCGAGGAAATACGAATTTTCATGTGAAGCCACGATTAATTGTTTTCGCAGTACCCTGAAACAATCGATGCAATTTAAGGTACGCTTGAGATTTTTGCGTACTAGTTGAATTCTGCTAAACTAATCTTGGAATTTTCATGTGGTTTTTTTGGATTAAGAAAAAGTTTTAAAACACTTCCCGAAAGATACCTTTGTCGAAACTTATAAGAAAGATTTGTACTACTATTTTGGGCTAAGTTTTTACCCCAAACGGACAACATTCAACATCTGGTCACAAGAAGCAGAAACCGGAATATATTGTGCCTGCTTATCAATTCATAGCATTTCTGTTGAACCGTGGACCAAGTAAGACGAATGCAGTCGGTGTTATTTAATTACTAGGGATAGGGTTTACTATCTGATTGACTATGAAATGATCGCGATTTCTATCCGAGATTCTAAACTCTTTTTAATTTTAATCCTCATACTATCAGTTTAGTAGTCTACAAAAAAACATATTTGAAAATACATTTCTCATATTGTCATTAATTTAAAAACCTAAACATCCAAACAATGCTGAATGCGCTTTTCAATCACGCAGTAATGCAATGTGTTTGTATGTTGTAAAATGTCCCCTGATATTTGTGTTAAAAACGAGTCCAAACGTATTAACTTCCAGAAAATACCATCTTTGATGGTGAAAGTCTAAATATAAAGTCGAAAACCGCCTATTTACAAGTACATGCGCAATTTGTTTATGGTAGATTAAGTCCTAAAATATGCAAATGCTCGTCGTATCAGCCCCTGTTATCCAGACTGCTAATAAATATCGACTCTAGAAAGTTATTCCTATGTCCAGGCATGAACTAAATTACTCTGGCTGTTTTAGCGGAAAAAACTGATAACATTTTCTTTGCACCTATGTCATAAATTAAGAAACGCGTACCAAATCATATTACTTTCATGTAAATAAAAATCACAAATTACTAAACGTTATTGCACTTTGGATTCATCCGAGGGACTAATGCTTGAACACTGGATAACCAGTGTAAATTGATACGATCTGGAGAGCTTCCAGATTATTTGAATAACGACTGCACATCAGTTTCTCAAACGATTATAGGAATAGCGGATTCTCTGTAGAGGCCCACCTTAGCAGTTCTATCTATGCTACGTACTCCTGGTCAATAAATGCGGCTGGTTATAGGGACTAACTGTTCAGTGATGCAGTTTTTATAAATTTAAAATGCAGATTGACTGGGTGCATATCTTGACATTCAAAATTCCTAATGACCCAGAAGCTGACTCAAGTGTATTGACCAATTTTGTCAACAAAAATGATTCAATCTCAGTTAAATTAACATACTGTTCCTGTTCACGAAATTCCCAGAAGGGTGCTCATGATGTGCGTGAGCAAACGAAACAACTGATGCTTCTTTCCTAGTACTGTTGCCTTTGTGGATGTTGACGTGCAGATGAAATAGTAAAAAAAAGAAGTCGGCCCACATTGGCTGCATATAAAATATCATTTAACCAGGTAGACTGCACGCGTTCCGTTTGTCATTTACGTATGATCATAAATTCAAACTAAAAACATTAAATTGGTAATTTGGTGGCGGAGTTTTGCAACTGCATGTTTAGTAGATTGCAGGCTTTGAAGCACAAACAATCACCCGCTGACGTTGTTCTTTTAAAACACAAGAGTGTAGAAATAAGTATGTCGTAATTTTTCGAAAAGCGAACTTCTGTTTAACAACACTGAAGGGCGATTTCGGGGTGAAATGTCTTATAGAGGAGAGGCGTTTACTTGGAGAGGTTTATTTCAGGCCTAATATTTCAAATATTGGTTCCGTTTACTCATTTTCAGAGAACCGGACCTATGCCCAAGACTCAAATCTCTGAGGATGGATACACGGTATCACTGCTCAAAACGTCGGCCTCAAATCAACCTCCTCCAGCAAACGTCCTTTTGCCTTCTGAACTTTCGTTATTTCAAAAATAACGCTTTTATTAATATTTTGTCTCAGTGGCATTTCGTGAACTGAGAAATAAATACTGAGATTGGGAAAGGTGGCTATAACAAAGTATCCCCATTTAAATTACTGCTCCGTACTACCAAAACACATACAGATGCGTAGTCCTACTGCATGGAACTATCTGGCCCGCAAAATTGCAAAAGCGAATTTGTCATTTATAAAATAACAGAGAAGCACAAAATAGGATAAAGGGATTCCTACTTGGCGCTCTAGACTAGAGAGTAAGTTGCACAAACTCTGATTCGTCTTAGACTGGCGGTCCAAATTTTGACTGTAATAATTTATCAGTATGATTACCTATAATATGGTCAACGTCTGAAACATTTCGCACCTAACTTATAGCTACACATGTAAAAAAATACTTATGAGTTTAGGCAATGACTTGGAAAGACTCGATATAACGCAAGGAACGATGTGTTACCTTGTTTTCAAAAGTTTCCGCTCCAATCCTGAATTCTGGCATTTCATCTGTAAAGTCGCGAGAGCGCTTTCAGTAGTACTCGGATTTGGGCTAGTCGCGAAAACTGAAACGGTCTTCTGACAACAGATGGAGAGGTCGATCCTGGCCAGAGAAATGGGTTTTCCGTGAGACGGGCTACTTCCAAAAAGTGGTTCTAAGTGATATCCCACGAAGACCTGCTGTCCCCTTGGCGCTGGTGTATGTCGTTGTGGTCGAAGGCACTCCTCAATGCGTCGACGGGCGTTATGCTATTAAAACTATTGTCCGCTCGCTTCCAGGTCGGTGCATCGCCGAATTCGGTGGCCAACTGAACCATCAAGCGCGGCAGTGCCACCATGTGGGAAGTCCTTCCAACTGCGCCCCTCTGAACCACTATCCTGGGCATTTCCTTAATTATCACAGTACTACAGAAGTAACTGTCCTCGAGAATAAAAGCTCTTGACTGAAATGTCTCTAACGTAATATTTTTTGGTTAACCACCCATTAAAAACAGCTTTCTCGCGACATTTTGGGAGATAAAGGTCAAATTATCGTGTCCCTTTCCTAATTATTTTTAGAGAGGACGCTGTTAGCTTCCTTCTATCAATGGTCTTACCAAAATATGCCGGGTGTTACTGCGGTTCGACAGCTGAAATCGCTTTCTCGTTTTCTTTTTAGTGCATTGGTTTCGTTGCTCTACCTACTCATCAACTTGTCTTTTGAAACAGCAGTCTCACACAGAGTGATTGAATCCAAGGTGGAAATTACTTATTTCGATCCATGCAGAAGTCTTTCAATTGCCAAGTACTTTCTTGGCTCAAACTCCACAAATAACAGAATTTCTGACACCTTTATAAAGAGGAATAGTTAATAAATGCATTGGCACAGCAAGGCGCACATAAGTTTGCGACAATAAGCCTGGTGCTGTGGGAAATGACCTGAATAAAGGGCACTGATATTTGTTGGAGGAAATAACTGTAGAGCACAGTCTGCCCCAAATAAAGCCCATTTTAAGCATTGTATAAACCTGCTACTGGAGGATGAAAACATTCGATGTCCTCTTTAAGAGTCATTCGTTACTAGTCTAGAGGTCATATGAGTCGTATCGTACACGGAGGTTGGGTTTGTCATTAAACGTAGCCCAGAACAACCGGTAAGCTGCCCTGAGTAGTAATCAAATCCGAGGTAAGCATTTCCATATTCATTTGAGAGGACATGATACTTTAAATGCCCCGGGTTGCCTAAATTTCAGCCAAGTGTGCCTTACTTGTATATTTTGACTTTCGGCGGGGCAGAAGAGTAAAAATTCCCGTGATAAATTTATGTACGACCAAAAAATCTCAAAAAACGCGAGCAAATATTCTGAAGCCACGTGCAGTAATATTTGCAAAGCAAGTTTGTGGATATTACCTCAGATTAAAAATAGGATTTTCATGATAAATCTTCTTGGTGGTCTGCGGGACAACTAAATGTATATTGAATATGCGTTTAGGTTAGAGTAATTTTGTTTTCAGACATTTTAGCCACGAAAACTCCAGAACATCTGTCGTTTCAACTAGCTCCACCAACCTACACATATTCCAGCTATTTTGACTAGTTTCCGAAAATTCACATGCCGAGGAGAGTAGTCTTATTCCTGAAACAGCTAGCATGCCATTATAGATACTAGGCACTACGCTCATCAAGTCTGCTGGTTTTTATGAATAAAAACGCCTGCCTGTTTCAAAATGCCGAAACTATTTTATTTTTTAGCTTACACAAACAATTATTTTCAGAGGTACTGGACGTGCCTTATATTCAAACCTCCACATTTTTGCGTCAGTGAGCAGGCCACTGAATCCTATCCAACTGTAAACAGGTCTTGATAAGGAGAAAAAGTGATCCGGCAGACTAAGGTTAGCATGGAACTGCTACTTTAAGGTCACCCAACTACATCAATCTAGCTGAAGGATTAAGGAGAGTTTGCCAGTGTCAACGTACTTAAAAGGTCGTGATATAAACTGATATTTTCTTAAATGCATCTTCTTGGCACATTGCCTCAGAAGGTACAAGGAGTACTCTGATTGAACATCCACAAGAACAGCTTTTTACGTGTTCTGTTTTGCAGATATAGTGAATGTACTGTTCAGTATACTGTTCACCGCCGATCATATTGTCATGTAAAGAGGCAGAATCTCAAAATATTTGTGTTATTTAACCTCGATCCAGAGGGTAAATATCAATGCAAATTGTCAGGGTATCTCCTTCGTGCGCGGTTTCCTCGTGACCAGCCGATTTCATTTTCATGCAGCATTGATTGATTTTGCTGCTAACGATCCTGTAGGGTCGCTTTAGTCAAAAGAAGTCTGTCTGTTCGCGAAGAAGGAAAGAGGAAGCGAAATTACGACCGCAATCCTGGGTGCTGCCGCCGTGAATAGAACTTTAATGATGTGATAACAACGCACGACACACCTGAGGCCTAGATCTCCGATTGCATGGGCAGACGTCCGGATCTCACGAGACTAACGCAGCATATTCTTCACGAGGAGGACATCGATGCAAAGAATGCCTGTAGTCGTAATGAAAAGGTGGACCGTTTTCCAACGAAGTGTTTACCCTGTCGACCACGCTGGTCTAGACGGAGCAGATAAACAAAGGTGTTTATTCTATGGGCCACCCACAAACGGAGCTCCAACGATGCTGTCGCGAACGCCAGAGGTACTTGACATTTACCCCCGTATCCTACTGCTATGCAACTGATGGAAGTGACTTCACAACGAACAGCACAAATGACGAATGCCAGGAATGAAAAAATAACAGACTTTTGATGCACAAACTATACTTAACTGTACTGTTAGTAAAGCATGTACACTAAATGCAGAGGGGGTTTTAGGCGTGAGGAAATTGCTTTCGGGAAAAGTAAAAGATTCCGTATATCACTCCATAGGACACAAATTATTTAAAGTCACAGTCGGTAAGGTTCTGATCTGCGACTGAAATAGTAGTTGCGGTGAATCGATGACGATAAATGGAACGGAAGTATCATTTTGACCATATTTTTTGTAATTTTTGCACATTTCGCGGACGTTATCGGGCAGATACAACGACCATAAAACAATCGAGTAAAGGTTAGGAAACATATTTGAAAATCACAAACGATTATAAAACGGTGTAGAACTAAGAGCGTGAATAGACATGAGAACAGATTAAGACCCAGAAACACATCACGGGTCCTCAATGATAACTGAAATTAGTGCAGTTCTCTATGTGGCTAAGCAGCTGTTATTTAATGCTTAGTGTTTCGGACATGTAAAATTCAGCACCCCGTAAGTATTAGGCAGTAGTATCCCTTTTATCCCACGGAACCATCTAAATCCGTAAATAGCACTTGACGCTATGTGTGATCAGCATTCTTATGAACTACGAGCGAATGACAAACAGTAAGCCATTCTCACTCCAAGTATGTAGGCATCCGCTATGCCATGGTCAACAAACCATGGCCCTTGCAGCTCGGTGTGGGCTGGCAGTTCGCTGGCACCTGGTTCCCTGCCGGTGGATGCACTTACGCTCCCACTGGATATACAGGCTGTGGGCATGGCTGACCAGCCATCCTCGTCATGCTGACCCGTTGTGGTGCTGTTGTTGGTGAAAAATCCTGGTCGTCCTTTTTGTGGAGTGTGGTGGTAGGACTAGATGAGGGTCCAGCCACCTGCACCCTCCCTTACCTCCGGCCTTCTTGACTATGTCTTGACACCGGATCCATGTGGGGGAGGATAAGATGCGATAGATGCCGTGCAAGTCTACCCTTACTTTAAACCACTTCACGCGCAATTCACCCTGCCCGCTCCACCTTGCTGTAGAGTACACGGTGGACATCGTCGAGCACGACGGTCGAACTGTCAGGACATACTTCGAGGTCTTCTTATGTGCTGTCATTTTCTGCTAAACGATAACCATTGCATCATAAATTCAGCGACAGCGAAGTGGTCTGGATGATTTTCAATTAAGTTGGAGGCAAGGCGCTAATCATTCGCTTTATTTTTACTAACAGACACATAACATTTGCAAATCTAATGACGGCATGGTAGAAACTCAAACCACGAAAAAGACTGTTCTGATGTTAGGCGCAAACATATTCTTTACGGTGTCTCACAAAATCTTTAGAGTTATTTACATGTCTAGCTTTAAATACTCCATTGCTATGTATACTGTATGCAAAGTTGACGAGGTATCATTTTCGACTCCAAATGCATGACCTTCGGCATGACAATAAAACTACGCTGCCCCACATGACAGTTCGACCGTCGATTTCGACGATGTCCACCGTGTGCCCCACAGCTGCAGCAGCGGTGGGAGCAGGGACGGTGACTTACGCAGGGGTTTATAGTGCCAGTAGACTTGCGTAGCAAGTGCTGAAGTGATGGAATTGACCAACACCAAACGGGCGTGTGAATTCCTCCAAGGTTGTCATACTAGCACGACCAGCATCAGTCGCTATGTCCATCTAGACGCCCATTAAGAAGGCCTGCGATCACGCCTCACCGAGCC